ACAAAGAGCATGGTTCCTCTCCTTGGTTGTTCTATCCCTGAGCTGTACCCTTGGCCTGAAGCCCTTCTCTTCCACCTCCTATTCAATGCCTCCCACTGAACTCCTCCCAACAGTGACCTGCTGGTCACTTCCAAGCCTGCCCCCTCCCCTTGCCACCATGTCCAGTAATGCTCACTCCATCTAGCCCAGTCCATGACCTTTGTCTATCCACTGAGCATCTCTTTGGCTACTTACACATGGCAAGCACAAGGCAGGGCTTTACATACACAGACAAGTTTCCTCCCATGATTGTGCCAGGCCAGTCACTCCACCATTGTCCAGGTAGCCACAAGAGATGATGGCTCCAGTCCCAGGACTTTGGGAACACATGCCCTGGCCCATAGCCTGCTTGGAGCAGTCCCTCACTTCCAGTCTGCCACCTCCTAACTGGTCTGCATAGCAGGCTCAGCTCCAGCTTCTCCCAAAGTTGCTGGGATGCCCCCTCTGCAGGGTCTCCTGCAGGAGCACACTGCAGCAGACGCACACACTCACCTTATCGTACCAGCAGCGCATGCTGAGCTGGCCACACATGCAGGTGCTGGAGGAGCAGTCGTCCACACACACGCAGTACTAGGGCAGAGCAAAGCGCATCAGATGGATACTACTCCTATTGCCTCTCCTCCCCAGTACACCCTACATCCCCAAATTCTCTGCAAACTCTCAAAATTACCCTTACCCTCACATGGGCTTTTTAGGACTGTGGGAGAATGCCTGGGACACGAAGAAGGATGCCATGTGGTTGCAGGGAGGAAATGGGAGGTCAGCTAGACATAGTCTCCAAAGGAAGCTAAAGAAATATCACTGCACCCAAGTCCAGTCACTCCAAGGGAAAGGTGAGGAGATAGGCCCTACAGCCCAAGCAGAGGTCTGGACAGCGCCTGTTCTGTGATGATGTGGGTGTGCTTACCAGCACAGCTACAAGAATAACCCTTGAGGATATGCCTGATTTTAGCTAGGAAGAAAGGAAGAGGCAGGAAAGTTGGTGTTTTCTGGACTGTACCTTGCAGGGTCAAAAAGGTACAAAATGGAGCTGAGGAGGAGGTTGACTCATAAGCCTTAAACAGGGTTCCTCTCACTTGTAACCTAAGGACCAAGCAGCACCAGTGCCCTGAGCCATCACTGGCCAAGGAATATTTGGTGCTGCTCTGGGCTGGCAAGAAGCCCTTAAAGCATTAAAGGAGAGCCAGTTCTATGCTTGATACAAGGCTTGAATTCCTGGCAGAATCTTCATCTGCCTTCTCCCTCTCTCCTGGGAGGCAACTGCTGAGAGAATGGGAACTCCTAGGAGGCTTCACAGGCCTCTTGTTCCGTAAGTGGTCAAAAGGACCAGCTCCAGAGGTCCTGTGGCTCCATCTTGCCTCAAATGGCCCTTCTCCTCCACTAACCTGCAGGTGAGTGATGTTTCTGTCGATGTTCATGGGGGACGTTACGCAGTTCTGAGAGACGTACTTGTAGTTGGTAGGGCATGGCTCACTGTCCACAGCGTTGACACAGGGGATGGGGATACGCTCGTATCCACGAGCAATGTCTCTGCACAGGAAAGGCAGGCTGTTACTCTAGCTGTTGCACGTTCCACCCTGAGCAGTGGCTATGGAAAGGTGCCCACCACTGGGCTCTAGCCTAGGGGTCTGGGTTCAGGAGAAATGTCCATTCTAAAGTTCTTCCAGCCCACCTGTCAATGGTTTGCTACAAAGCCACCTTGGTCCTAGAACCTTCTCACCTGCTCACCGTCTTCTCGACAGCAACAGGCTTGTCAGGGGCCGAGTCCTGCAGAGCCTTGCTCATCTGCAGTGCACTCCACACCTGGGAATTAAGGCTTGCACACTGCAGGGGAGTCTCTCCTTCCTTGTTTTTCAAAGTGACATCTGAATCCCGAGAAAGAAAGAGGCTAAAAGGGAAAATGGAGCCGACAAAACATGCAGCTCTGAATTTAGAAGAGACAAAGGAGAGGCATGTAGCACCTATGCTCACCAGGACAGAGCGCACCACTTGTCCCTGTCCTTCATCTGTGTGCTGCCCAATGGCTCTGATGTGGCTGTGCCTCCCCACACCTTCCCAGGAGCACACACTGCTCCTCCCACACTGGCATCTAAGCCTCCATTTTTCTGGAAGGACATTCAGGAACTAAGGGATGTTGTTTCATTTTTCTTGCAACTTTGCCCTTGAGGATAAAGGGGAGTGATGGAGAGAAAGCACCCTGCATTTTGGGGTGTGCAGAGGTGTAGCCCAGTCATAGGTGAGAGCCTCGCACTCAGCCGAATGCATTTGCACATGCCACAAAAGCCATGTCATCTCTCTTCCAGGTGAGGTGGAGGAGCCGCCTGATGTTCACAGCAGTCACTCCCCTCCTAGTCCCTCTCCAGGAGCAGAGCAGACACCACCCTGGACCCACCACAGCCCAACTGAGAAGGCCCCTTGGGAAGAAGGCCTCACATTTCAAAGGGCCCTGGGAAGTCCTCTGCAGCCTTGTCAACATCTCCAGCACTGAGTGGGGAGCCTCAGAGCAGCAGGAAACCACTCAGAGCACAACTGTCCCCATTCTGTCTGCTGGCAGCACAGACAGGTCTGAGACTTGGCTCAAGGTTCAACTAAAAATCTGGGATTTTTCATGACAACCCTCTCTGAGCCTGAAAGAAGCCACAGCTGGTCTCAAATGTAGCCTGGGAAAGACACTTCTCCACCTGCAGGGAATCAAGGGTGCTCATTCACTGCAGGGAGGAGAGCTGTCCACTGGCCTCTGAGGGCCCCAAGTTGACATCAGCCTGGAGCAGGGGCCACGCCAGGGCAGGGCCGGGCCACACTCACACAACACAGTCGTAGCGATTTTCCCTGGCTGCGATGTGAAGTGGCGAGTCTCCGTGAATGTTCACGGCGTGCAGGTCACACTTGGCAGCTAGCAGTATCTCAGCTATGTCGACACAGCCTGAGAACGCTGCCCAGTGCAAGCAGATGTTCTCCTCCTGCACAGAGATACAAGTGAGAGCCCAGTGAGGACCACTTTCTGGCCAGGTGCATGATGCAGCTGCTCTGCTCACAGACCAAGTCACAGCTGGCCGTTCCTGGCACAGACCATGTGGAAAAGGCTGCACAGTTCACCAGAGAGAACAAGGTTGCTGTTCACTTGGCAGCACTCTTACTTTTCTATTTTGCTTTGGTTTTTTTTTTTTTGCTCTAAAAGTAATAATAAATCACAGTACAGAAACATACAGAATTATATCACCCTAAACAGGACATATTATTAACACAAAAAGTGGGGCACGTAAGTGGTATTCATTCTAACACTGGGGGCTGGGCATGGTGCCTCATGCCTGTAATACTAGCTACACAGGAGGCAGAGCTAGAAGGATCAAGGTTCGAGGTCAGCCCAGATAAAAGTTATGAGATCTTATCTCAAAAACAAGTCAGAGGGCTGGCAGAGTGGCTCAAGTGAAAGAGCCTAGCAAGCATGAGACCCTGAGTTCAAACCACAGAACAGCATAAAGGAATGAATGAATGAATGAAAAACAAACTAGGCTAGATGTGGTGGTGCACATCTGAAATCCCATCTACTCAGGGGTGGAGATTAGAGGATTGCAGTCTAAGGTCAGCCCCAGGCAAAAGCACGAGACCCTATCTGAAAAAGAAACTAAAGCACAAAAGGCTGGGGGTATGATTCATAGCACCAGTGTTTGCCTAGCAAGCATGAGTCCCTGAGTTCAATCCCCAATCCCCAGTCTCTCTCTCTCTCTCTCTCTCTCTCTCACACACACACACACACCAAAAACAAACCTTGAAAACCTCAACAAAATTTTAAATGAACTGAAGAAAAACTGTAAAACTATTTGTGCCACATACAACATAATGACTTATTAGAACACTGCATTTCTGGAAAATGCACAAAGGGTATGAAAATAATAATCAGTATACATAAAAAAAGGTAAAGAATAAATGTAAATAAGATAGCCAAGAACCAGGTATAAAACATGAAGTATACTTGTAGTCTCCTAGACCATGACACATGCACAATAACTGATGGCACAAGCAACACCTGCCCCTCCTGCTGTGGCTCCCAGTCCTGCCAAGGGCTCACCTCAGCTGGGCTCTGCAAGCAGAACTTTAGGGTTGTCACTTGAACTAAGAGGATAGCCCATGTGCCATAACTTACTCAGTCTTTCCTTTATTGAACACTGTTTACTTATGGCAGGGTAACATAATTAGCATTATGTTACCTCTTCTTTTTCTGAAATATTTCTCAGGGCTAAACCCTCAGAGGTGGGACTGATAGTTACAGAATGTAAACCCACACTGATTTGCAGTGGTTTTCCACTCTACCAGCAGTTCACTGCAGTCTCTTTCTCCATGGGACTCATTAGTGATTTTCATAGCAGCCACGGGGGGAAATAAAAATCAAGTCTGACCACACTTAGTTCCCAAGGCAGAGTCCCTGCAGTGCAAGCCCTTCTGCAGCACTGCCTGCTCAGGTCTACCCTCACTGTGCCTCTATCAGGCAAGTGCCCAGCTGCATCACAGAAATGCAGGCCCTTGGGGATCTAATCTGGTGTACTCAAGACAACTGGACAGCTGCCTCCCAGTGTCCACAGGGTAAGGTGTGGTCAGGGCTTAGAAAACCCTGCACATTAGAAAAGAAGGCAGAACAGAGGCAAGTGTCCTGCCTGTCACCTCACCCACAAAAGCTGCCAGCTCTTACCCATAGGCTTCACTGTTTCCTCTATTTCTAGAGGAAAAACTAAAAGCAAATTCCTTTTAGTCGACCTTAGTATTTTCTGAAAAACCTTCTTATCTGGGGTTCTCTTTTCTGGTTGTTATTCTTGGTGGCTTTCAGTCCTCTAATCTCATCTGATTCTATCTTCCACATATCTGAAAGCTCAGTTCTGCTTTCTTGGGGGTTTTTCCTTCTATCTTTATCAGAATGATTTGTGATTTTGTAGTGAGAATTACATTTTTGGTAACTTCTATTTCACCTACACCCTTCTTTTGTGAACCTACTTAGTCTGCAGAGCTATGATACTGTTAAGCAGTCTCATTTCCACTAGGGCAGAGGTACCTTCTGCTTCCATGGGCTGGCCTGGATGCACCCTTCCACCGGAAGAAGAGTGAAAAAGAACAGTGCAGAACCACAGTGTCAACTTTGCATGCCAGGCAAGGAGGAAATAGCTGGGGATTTGGAGCTGCCACTCACTCACAAGCAGGGACCAGTCAGAGGAAAGAGCTACAAAAAGAGGCTCAGAGACCAGACTTCCACCTGGAACACCAGCACAGGCACTAGTGGCCACAGGCCTATGAGAAAGCATCCTGAAGCCAGAGCTCCTCCGCCAAGCAGATGGGAAACACTGTCCATTCATGAGCCATGGGCTGGGGGATGAAGGAGGGGCCTGCCTTGATGGGGCTATAGTCTCCCTGCACTGAGAACTGCTCAGAATCCATGAAAACAGCCAGAAGGCAAAACTCAGCATGATCAGACAGATTCCAAGTCAGCAGCAGTCCTAGAACAGAGCTCAAGAGCACGTGTGGGAAGATGAGGATTCTCAGCACCCCCAATACCTGACTTCTAGTTAGAGGTCACCTGACGCACAGAGAAGCAGGAAACATGACCATCGACCCAACCAGGGCTGACACGGACGCTGAACTGGCAAGCACAACCATTTATAGCACTTGGTCCTAGTAGGTTCCACACACCTAAAGCTACGCAGGATATTTTAAAAGACTCCACAGTAATTTCAGAGTTGAAAACCAGTGTCTGAAATGAAAACACAAAGGATGAAATTAATAGCATAATTGGTATATGCAGATGAAGAGCAGAAGACCGGGAAGCACCAGTAAAACAGGCAGATTGCGGTACAGGTAAAGACTCAGCTGTTAGGAAATGACAAGAGCGTCTGCAGCTGTGGAGCTTATCTTGCAACCAGAACCCCTGAATGAGGTGGGCAGAAGGTATATCTAAGAAAGGCTGACCAGAGCATTTCCAAATTAGACAAAAGCCCTAAATCCACAGGTTCATGAAACTCACTGAACCCTACATACACACAGAAATAACGCCAAGGCTATCACAAAATCTTAAGAACAGCCTAAAGGAAAAAGTATGTCTCACACAGAGAAAGGAGGATAAGACAAAGCGGGTTTCTCAAATTTAACAGTGAGGACTCCGGGAAGCAACATTTGCAACAAAGGAGAAAACCCACCAAAATCATCTTTCAGAAACGAAGGCAGAGGCAAGGAGTGGTGGCTCACACCTGCAATCCCAGCTACTGGGGAGGCAGAGATCAAGAGGATTATGGTTCAAGACTATTCTGGGCAAAAAGTTAGTAAGATCCCATCTTAATCAAGAAGCTGGATGTAGTGGTAACATGCCTGTGATTCTAGGTACTAGGGAGGCTATAGGTAGGACCACTGTGGTCTGAGGCCAGTCCCAGTCAAAACCATGAGACATTACCTAAAAAATAAAAAATATGTGAAGGCAAGGCTCAAGTGTCAAGTGATAGCCCAGAGTTCAAACCCCAGTACCAGGACTGGCACAGATGATAGAGCACCTGTCCAGTAAGCCACAAGGTCCTTAGTTCAACTCCCAGTACACACACACACACACACACACACACACACACACACACACCACACACGAAAGATAACACACACACACACACACACACGAAAGATAAAACTATACTTTATAGATCTGTAAAGTGCATATATGATAAAGGGCTTGTTTCCAGCATATAAAATAAACTCCCAAAACTCAAGAACAAGAAACACACAACAAAAAAAAAAGCTAAAAATGTGAAGATACCCTTCACCAAACAAAGTACATGGATACTAAATAAGCCCATAAAAGCTAACATCCTTAGTCAATAGACAAATGAAGATTAAAACCACAACGAGATACCGCTACACACCTACTAAAATGGCTAGAACTGAAAAGACTGATGGGGAGAACCAGCCCTCTCAGACACCAGAAATGCCACAACCAATCTGGAGACAAATCAAGTCACACGTGTGACCCGTCTATCCACTCCTAGGTGTTCATTCAAAGAAAGTGAAAGCAGGAGTGTTCACAGCAGCTCTGAGACAGTCAAATGCCAGGCAAAGCCCCTGTGTCCACCAACAGAGGGGCAGCAGACAGCACATGGCCTGATGGACATTTTAGGCAAGGAACCATCGATACAGCTTGTGATGACCCTCAGGACAGCAATGCCGACTAAGGATGACATGTCCACTTAGACAAAAACAGCAGACTGTCAGATTCACAGAGAAAGGAGGCCAGCAATGGCATGGGCATGGCTAGAAGTAGGAGGGAATTCTGGGATGGGCATCCCATGTGTTTTACCATCTTCACTGTGCTGATGGTTTGTCACCCAAGTGTGCACTTTAAATTTGGGTAGTCTGCAACTACAGGTCAACAGAGCTACCAAAATAATGATGTGTATCACTGTATAAATAACAAACAAAATTTTATCCACCCTTCCATTTCATAGGAGCAGCCACCAGCACCACAGAGCTAAGACCCAGTGAACACTGGATGGTGAGCACCACATCAGTAAGTTCAAGTGCAGGGCCACATCAGGGTCAGTGCAGGAGACTACACCTGGAACTTAGAACATCCCAAAGGCTTCTGTGTCAAAGGTATTAGTTTCTAGCTTAGTACTCTTTAGGTCATGGGGTGAGTGGGGCGGGGGATGTCCCCTCAAAGGGGATATTGGGACTCAAGCTCCATTTTCTTCCTCTCTCTTTTTTCCTGGCCATGAAATGAACAGTTTTGCTCCACTACAAGCTTCCACTATGATGTATTGCCCCTTGCAAACATCATTGATAAAAGCAATGGGGTCAAGCCCCACTGGTTTTGATCATGAACCGGAACCTCTAAAACCAAGAACAAAAATAAGCCTCTCTTATTATCTCATGCATTCATTACAGCACCACTGTTAGTAACTAACTAGTAACTAACAGTGGCCCTCTGGCACCACATTTTAAGGAGGCAGTGTTGGAAAGAGATACCCATGCCAGTCTCCATTGCAGCCTCTTTGACTTCATCTGCTCCCCTGCTTCTCCTTCCCCATGGAAATGTCCTATTCTCCGCCGTCCTTCCGTTCCCACTCTCTCCCTGTGGATACTCACCACACTCTATGTAAGCAATCAGAACAGACTCTGGTGCAGTGAGGAACATACCACTGAGGCTGAAGACCAGCCCCCCAACCCCCAGGAGAGGCCTACAGGCCTCCATGAGGCTAGATGCATGGGGTCTTGGTTTCTAGGAGAAAGGAGAGTATGCTTGCAGTGAGCCACTGACAGTAAGAGGCCAGAGCTGCCTCTAGGCACCAGGGCTCTGCTTCAGAAACGAAGGGCCCTTTAGAAGGAGGGGCTGTCCCAGTGGCCTGGCTTATAGCCTCCTCTAGGAAGCTGCATCCCTGGGGGTCATTGCTAGCATGAGAGACTCACATTGTCCCGGATGTTGATATCGGAGCCCTTGGACAGCAGTAACTTCACCAGTTCCACGTGCTTGTACTCGGTGGCCCAGATCATGGGCGTCCAGCCGCCATCGTCCTGAGTGCAAGATATACAAAGCCACCACCACTGCAGACAGCAGCTGGAAGAGCATCTCCAAGCACCATACACAGCTGGCTCAGGACCTGGGTAGAGTCCTCAGAGCACCATCCCAGGTAATTCTTGAGCACGGGAGCCAGCCCTGACTCTGGGTACCACCAGAGGCAGCCTCTTTGCACTGGCCCCTCTTGGCTGGGCAGCCTCCCTGATCCAGTCAGCACTAGTGGCAAGACACTTGAACACACCAGGTCATCCATCTTGGTGACATGGGAGGGGACTAACCCAGGGAGCACCCATAGTGAGGCTGGTGGGAGCACAGAGAAGTTTCCAGGTGAAGGGCAACAGACACCAGGCCTGGCGGGGAATGTTTCTGCCTCTTCTTGAAAGCAAGGGGCAGAAAGCCCACCTAGGCCTGCTGGTCTGTAATCTCATGAGCTGCCCTCCTATCACTGCACCCAGTCTCCACTGTCCTGAGTAAATTCATTTAGACAAGAAAAGGGCATTTTTCAGGAATTGTCATGTTGCCACCTCCAAGTCTACAGGCGGAAGACAGCCTCTTCCTCCTCAACACCTCCACAGGGCTCCCCGTACACCTATGCATGTCCTTGGTGGACACACAGTGCCACCACTACAGCAGACTGTCAGCCCTGTCCAAGGCACTGGGGACCTGTGGATGCTGTCTCAGGGAGCAGCAGAGGTGTTCAGCAACCTGACTGAACGAATGAGGACATAAGGCCAGACAAAAAAAAGCCAAGTCAGACAGGTGCTGCTTTAGACAAGTGAACAGGGAAGGGGATCCAGCCATAATCTGCTGTTTCTGGATCATCTAGGAAGGACCACAATCAAGACCTGAGACATGTCTGAACCAGGGGTGGGCAGGCAGTGCCTGAGAGGAAGGGATGGAGCTTCCCAAGGAAGACACACACACATCCCAGACCTGAGCGTCTGGGGGAATCCACTACAGTATGTGCTGAGTAGACCCAAAGCCAGCTCGTCTTAGGTCATTCACTGGCTCAACAGATAGCTACAGATACCTACTGTGCACCAGGCACCAATAAGATACCAGAGGTCACAGCACCAGTAGAATAGCACTGTGGCTCTGACAGTAGTGAGACAGATCACTGGATACCGAGCAGACATGGCCAGCACTAAGGGACAGGCTGTGGGAGAAGCCTAGGTGCCCTGGGAAGGGTGGGGGATACCCTGGGCATAAGTGGTTGGGAGATGCCTCACTTGGGTGATATTTGAACATAGGTCTCATAGGAGATAGGGAGGCCCAGTGAACACCAAGGGAGAAGCAGCAAGGCAGGCAGTGGGAGGCCCTCCCACAGAGGACATGGTCTTCCATGGCTTGCAGGCCTTTAAGGATGCGCTGGAGAAGGGGTGGACAGCTGTGGAGGGAATATGGGGTGGTAGTCATTAAACAGGAGCATGGCTGTACCTGGCAGTTGACATCCATCTGTCCATTCGAAAGCAGATACTGAACCACATCATAGTGGCCTTTCTTGGCAGCCAAGTGCAAACATGTGGAGCCCTCTGCATCCTACAACACAAATGCTGTTCAGTCCAAAGAAACCACTCTTGACAGCCCTTGTTGTAGGCCAGAGAACTCATACTTCCACCACAAAGGAAGTGCATGAACATCCCACCTGACCTAAGGAACCCAGGTTGAGGAACTAGGATCCTGTCCTGAGGTACCAAAGGGCAGAGCCAAGACCCAAGCTTTTTGACCCCCAACAAAGCAGAACCTCTGGTGGGAAGAAACTGTGCCACCATCACACATACCTGCAGGTGCACCGTTGACAAAGACCCTGCCCACTCCTACCTACCCTAGACTGGACGACTCAGGACAGCTCCTAGGCTTGCCATCACAGCCAGTGTGCAGTGCTGAGTACTGCCAGGAGCAGTTCCTACATGACCCTGGGGCCTGCTCCATGCCACAGCTGCTCCTTCTTGGCCCTCTGAAAGCTAACAACAGTCACACAGCACATCGAAAACAGTGGATGACTCAGTAACAGTTGTCCACATGCTGAAAAGTTTAAAATAATAGTGGGTGAAGAGAGCAGTAATAGGCACAAGCCTGTCCTACAGTCCAAAAGACCTGTCTTGGTAGACACCCAGAGAAAAGAGCCAAGCAAGAAACTTCAGGAGGAGCAGGGAGGGTCAGCTAGCCTGGGCATGCCCACCAGGCCTGCATGGATCACAAGGACCATGTGGACATACTCTGCTATACTCCTACAAGCCCTTTGCATTTCTTCTCACTCCTATCTTTGTACTAACCTTATCTCTTCAGTATTTTTTTTCCTCTCTGTTTTCTATCTCAGAGCTGAGACCCGAGATCTTAACACATCGTTAACCATGCAGTTACTCAAATTGTTAATTAGGATAGCCACCTTTCTTGAGAACAGCCTGTGCACTCAACCCCCACAAGACTGGTGTTTAGAATCAACATGGAAAGACTGCTGCAGGTTCTAAGAACAGCAGCAGCACACATGGCAGAGGCACTGGGAACCAGTCACACTGTGCATGCAGATAAACACAGAGGAGAGGAGCCTCACAGCACTGAGATGCATGCTACAGGCAGGTGGAGGGCAGAGGCCCAGGAGAGGTGAAAGGAGATCTCACAGAACCACAGACCAAGGGTACCTCAGTAAAGGGAACTACACAGGAATAAGACATGAAGGTGGTAAAGAATAGGGGCCTTGGGCAGGGAGAGGTCATTGTCCACACTGTTCAGAGAGATTAGCTGTGAAATCTCCAATTACAAACAGTTCATGTCACTCCATCTCAAAGACAACCCACACAATACCCTATCCTTTTTGGTGCTCCTCCCCAGAGCTGATCACACTCTTGAATTTAGTATTTGGTCTAGCTCTTGATACTTTTCTGATACCTGTATCCATCTATAGAGGTCTTGCAGGATTTACAATGGTTGTATCACATTGCAGGTCTAGTTCAACATGATTTGTTGAGACTCACCTTTGTGCTAACATGTTATCACTCATTCACTGCTTTTACCTGAGGCAAAACTATTTTCAGCTTCTTTATTCCCAGGTAAGGAACATAGTTATTTTTTGACTTTCTGCTATTTAAAAACATTGAATATCACAATTTTACCTGTCCTCCCGTGCCAGGGCTGGCCATGTGGGAATTACTGGGTTTCAGCCTTCCTGGCATGCATGATAAGCTGCTGCCCAGGATGGCCTCCAACCTGCCAGCCAATGAATATGACTGAAAACTCCACACCTTGTCAGGTATTTTCAACACCTGCTTTATATAATTCAATGACCACAAGATGATTTCTCAGTCAGGCTTTGAAAGACGTGAGCACTTTTTCACACACTTATTATTTACTATTTCCTCTTCTGTGGGCTGCTTATTTGTGTTCATTGCCCATTTTCCACATGGGTTGTTTTCTTTTACTTGTAGGAATTCTTTACACTGGAATCATAAAGACGATCCTCCTTTTTGCATCTGACCCTCATGGTTACTGTTTGCACAGCAGGTCTCTACCCTGTCACTCCCACCATGTCTGTCTTCATGTAAGAGCATGAATACTTCAGGACACTGCTAGTTCTTGCTTTTTTGTTCAGTCAAAGAGAGCTCAGTCTACACCAACACGATAGTTTAAACCTGCCACTGTGCTATGTTTCCCTGTTTGTCTCTTCCATTTTTACTCATCTTCTGTGTTGTCGTTGCAAATTACTTTTCAGTATTCCATTTTACTTCCTCTACTAGCTTGCTTTCTCTAAAGCTGTATTTCTTCTCAGTACTTTTTCCAGAGACTAAAATATTCATCTTTAACTATCAGTCTGCTTACACTAACACTGCATCCCCTCCTACAATAAAATAACTTTACAACAAAGTGCTTGTATTTGCATACCACCTTTGCAATCTGTATAAACTCCCGTTTACATTATCCTTGCTTTAAATAGCCCCTTGTCTTTTGAGAAATTTAAAAAAGAAATAGGCCTTTACATTTGTCTTTTCTCGTTTCCATTCTTTCCTAAAGAGCTATTTTCTGGGCTTTGGCAGTCCTTCAAGTACAAAGGTGCTGATCAATCTTACCTGTTCTGTTAACCCATACAGGTTTATTGCCCCCTGATTTTTAAAAGCTAACCTTTTTTTCTTAGTTTTCTTTCCCATAGCACAATGGCCTGCCGTTGCAGGTGGGAAGTCAGCTGTCTGTCATGGTGGTGTTTGCCTATATGTAACATGCAATTTTTCCAATTTTTATGTTATCTTTGGTTTTCCATTTCCGCATGATGTATTTAGGTGTGGTCTTTTGTCCATTTATCTCACTTGTGTTTTGCTGAGTTTCTCAGATCTGTAGATTTCAGTTTTTCTCCAAATTTGGGGAATTTATGGCCATTATTTCTTTAACACAATTTTTTCCTACTGGATTTTCTCTGCTTGGGCAGTTTGATTTTGTCCTACAATCTGTTTTGCATATTGAACAATTTCTATGGAACAATGTTTATCTTTCTTCTGCTACATCCAATCTACTGTGAAGCTGACCTATGAAATCTGCAGACATCTCCCCCAGCATTCCCTAGGCTGCAGCTCCTCCAATCCTTCACCCTGCAGGTTCCAACTACTCCAGCAGAGACCTGACACCGCCTCAAGTCCTCAAGCTTGGTGGCATCTACTTGGGCTTTAGGGGCACCGTGATAAGAATAGGAAAATGTGGGCAAATGTGGAATTGGCCTACCCATCACAATGGAAACAACTGTTAACAGTTAATTAGAATGACTTACAAAAAAAACCTGAAAGCTCTGTATCTTAAAAAGTCACCAAAATCCAAATAAAGGATTAAATATAAACTTGAAAAAAATATATAAAACATATCCATAACTATATTTAGAAAACATTGACTTTATCAAGAATCAATTAAAACAGTAAAAAATAAATCAAACTTTCACAGATCAAATTGAACATTGACAAACAAAGCAGCACTGATAAGGGCCTGCTCACACACTTCAGTTTAGAAAGGGGTGTGAGAGATTCTAAGAATTTTTAATGTATTTTGATTTAGCAATTCCATACTCAGAAATCTAAGAGAAATTAAGCACATGCAAATATTTAACTATGAAAAGTTTATTGAAGCACTGTTTGTGATAAAAATTTTGAAAATAAGATCAATATTAATATAGAAATTTGGCAGGAAAATAAATAATATACCAATGAGGTCATTTGAAATGACTTAAAGCCACGGAAATAGTGAAAATTTAATCTGATGTGAAAAAAAGAGTTGATAAATTAGTATAGAGTATGGTCACTTTTTTATTGGAAAACATGAGAATTAATGTGAAAGACTCCGAGAATACTTTTTACATTTTTTGGGGGTGCTGGGGATGAGATTCACACATGCTAAGCACATGCTCTAGCACTGAGCTACATCCCCATCTCCTATTTTGTGCATTTTTAAAATTGTGGTAATGTATAACATAAAATTTTCCACAATTCAGTGGCATTAATTACATTTACAATGCTGTACAATGATCATTACTAGTTCAAAACCTTTCTCTTTTTCTTTGTTTTGCTTTTTAGATAGGGTATTGCTATGTAGTCCACACTATCCTTGAACACGTTCCTCTTGCCTCAGTCTCCCAAATGCTGGAATTACAGGCATGTCAAAAACTTTTCCTTATCCCAAACAAAACCTCTACAACCACCAAGCAACAGCACCCCATTTTCTCAGTACCTGGTAACCTCCTGCCGATACTCAGTCTGTAGATACGCCTGTTCTAGGCAACTTATGGAAGTGAGTAGTATTTGTTCCTTTGTGTAGCTTCTTTCACTCTATATCCTCAAAGTTCATCAGTGCTGTAGTGTGTCAAGTGCTTGGTTCCTTTCTATGGCCAAATCAATCCCATTGTATGGACAGACCACGTGTTTCTATCTTTTTAACTATTTTGAATAGTGCTGCTCAAAGATCTCTACGTGCCTGCTTTTTTATTTCTTTGGGCATACACCCAGGAAGAGAATTGCTAAGTCTGGTAATTTCATGTTTAGTTATCTGAAGAATCGCTAAATTGTTTTTCATGGTGGATATACCCTTCACACTCTCACCAGCCATGTATGAAAGTTCTACTTTCTCCACATACTCACCAACACTCACTTTCTAGTTTTTAGGTAACAGTCATCCTGGCAGGTATGAAGTAGTTCTGACTTGCATTTCCTTCAAAACCAATAATCCCCAGCATCTTTCATCTACTGACTGGCCATTTATGTATCTTCTTTCAGGAAATACCAATTCAACTGGAATAAACACGAGTCAGAGAAGCTAGCCCCCTTCCATCTTTTAGATGCTAAAGTTACAGGAACAGGGAGACAAAAAGAGGAGCTCCCTGCTTCTGCTTTCCTCTTTGAGATGTTAACAGGCTACCAGGATCCTTGGATGAGTAGAGTGTAATGAAAGGAAAGTTGTTAAACACATCTATTGTCTCTGTGTTTTGGGTAGAATGTGGGTGTGATTTGGGAGGGTTACCCCTCCCTGTCTTGTAAGTCATCTCAGCCACCCAGACCCATTATCTTTGTATTTCCCCAGCATTGGGGACCACCATTTTGAGTCTTTGCTCCCATTTCCTGCCTAGGAAACAGGAAATGTTTCTCTCTTTTCTCCTCCCTGTTCCTCTCCTAATAAATTAACTGGTTTATTTAGTAAGTCAGACGACTTCTTTATATATATTCTGGATAGGAACCCCTTATGAGACATAGAATTTGCAAGTATTTTCTCTTCTATGAGTTGTGTTTTCACTCTCTTGATAGTGCCCTTAAAAGGTTTTAACTTTGATGGTGTATCTACTTTTTCTTTTCTCGTGCTTTTGGTGTTATGTAGAAGAAATCACCGTCAAGCCAATGTCACGAGACATCCCCCATGGTTTTTCCAAGTTTTATAGTTTTGGCTCCTATATTTAGTTCTTTGATCCACTTTGCTTACATTAACTTTTGAAAGGTAGAAGTCATTATGAATTTATTATTTACACATTCGTTAAAGTACACAAATACAGTGATAGTACAAACATACAGCTCAGAGTTTGGTAACCAAAGACAGAGGTTGATACACACATTCTAACTATGCTTCCTGCAAGTGATGATGGGGATTAAATACTGGACAAGAACCATTACAGTCACATCCCATAGAACTTGCTTCCAACACAACCCAGCAGTTAGTTCCAGGCTGAACCTGGATGCAGTCCCAAGGCTGCCTGCACCATCCCTCTGGCATGTGTTAACCCTTGTATTTGAAGGGAGGTAAGGATCCAACCACACTCTTCTGCATGTGGATGGAGTTTTTACTAATAAACCAGAAGTGACCTGTGCACACTACTTCTGCTGAGTTTTTCCCAGCACCATGTTGAAAAGCTGCCCATTCCCCATCAAACAGTCTCAATATCCTGCCAAAACCAACTGACCACATGTGCAAGGGTTTTTTTCTGAACTCTCTTGTCTATTCTATTGGTTTTTAATTGTCTTATGTTACTATTTTCATTACTGTAGCTTTGCAAGAAATTTGAAATCAGTAAGTATGAATTACCCAACTTTGTTCTTTTTCAAAACTGTTTGCCTATTCCAGGTCCTGACAGTCTTTAGAGTAGGTTTTTCCTGTGTCTGTTGAGATTCTGATAAGAATTGCATGGAATCTGCAGATTGCTTGGGTGGTATTGGAAAAACTACCAAAATAATTGTTTTATTTCAGCAATGGTTTGTAGTTTTCAATTCTCAAGTTTTCTGCTTCTTTGGTTAAACACATTTCTAAGTATTTTACTCTTTTTGATGTTACTGTAAACAGAAATATTTTCCTTTTTTAGACAGTTGACCACAGGAACATAGACATATAAACCTGGCATGGTGGCACACTCCTGTAATCCCGGCACTCTGGAGGTGGATCACAAGTTCAAGGTCAGTCTAGGCTACACAGTTAGAGCCTGTCTCAAAAAACCAAACCCGAACAAAAAACACCACCACCAGAATACAGAAGTGTAACTGGTGCTTGTGTGGAGCCTGTAGCCTTCTGCTTTGCTGAAGTAGTTTATTAGCTCTAAAAATACTTTTGTCGATCCTTCACATCATCTGTGAGCTGAGACATGTTTACCTCCTCCTTTCCAATTTGGATGCCTTTTATTTCTCTTCTTGCTTAATTGCTCTGGACAAAAGAGGGAAGGGAGCTAGAAGCCTCTACGTGGCAAACTCCTCATTGGCTGGCTTCTTTTCTATTGCTTCTCAGTTCACTAGGGAGCTTTTACTAAAAAAACCAGAAGTGATTTGTGAACACTACTTCTGCTGAAGTCTACCAGCTCCTGAGGTGCTCCAGGGAAGAACTGTGCCCTGGTTCATCCTTCTGAGAAACACCTACACACAAAATAAGAAAATCAACCTGATGAGGTGGGGAGAGAGGAAGTACCTTTGGATCCACCTGTGCCCCAGCCTTGATGAGGTACTTCACTGCATCCAAGTGGTTATTTTCTGCAGCTTCCATCAGTGGGGTCCTCTGGTCTTCTGAGCAGGTGTCAATATTTGCACCCGCCTGGTAAAACAAAGACAGTTGAGGTGTGTGGGAGAGCAGCACTGCAGCTGCCTGCCCCTATAAGCAGAGGGCTGAGATGTTTCCGTATTTGAAAAAGAGAGATATAAGGAACAACATTAACAATGACCAACTATGTCAGTATCTTCAAAAACTGCATTCAAGACTATTACCCCATTACTATCAGGCTCTAGTTTAAGTAGAATTATTTTTGCTAGATTTCATTTCATTTCTAAATTAATCTGATTTAAAAAAAACAGCATGGTAGTATGGTAACACCTTTGGAATTCAGAAAGTCAGTGCTAACCTTTAAATCAGGCAAAGCAGGGTACAGAGGGGTCTCCAGGGAGGGCAGTGGTGCAGAGGTTTTAAGGGAAAGGGGTGCAGGAGGGCCAAGAACACCCCAGCTTGTTGGCTCTTCTACCTATTTCTCCAGCTGTTTCAATATTTTCCAAAATAAACAGAAAAAAAAAAAAACTAGTTTCCAATGACATGAATTTTGAAATAATTTGTAATTTTTCCAATAAAGTAAGGAACTTGGAGGCAGATAAGACTAATAGGAAAGGCAAAGCCCCAGCAAGTCAGCCACTGGTGGCTGAGACTTCTCCATAGGGACATTGTCTAGCTTCTTAGACAAAGAACAGAAGGTAATACTTTATAGAGTAAATATTTATTAAGAGACAAATGAAAATAGTACTTTTACTACCAGCAATTAAAAAACAAAAGTGACACACTAAGTGGGAAATTTTACACAGGCCTAGAATGGGAGCTGTGGGGAGCCAGGTGCAGTTAGGCTACAAGCTGCACTGAGACTGTGGCAATTTCCAGAGTTCTGCTTCATGGGCTAGAAATCAAAGTGACCAGAGCACTGAGGCACAAACAAGGTAAAGGAAACAAGGTTTTGACTTCAAACACAGAACTTCAAAGCCAATTTTGGGCTGCCAAATCTGAGGGCAAGGTAAAGCCAGAATTTTACAGCAGCAAATTTTAACAAGTAACTTTAAAAACCACACAGAATAAGGCACAGAGTGAAGGCTATGCAGAGGCTCTCAGGGGTGAGGGTTGTACTCTGCAGGTGGGCCCTAGGCTCTGCCTGCACAGAGCACAAACAGCTCTGCTCCTCCTTACCACTGCCCCCCACCCCAAATAGTAGTGAAAGAAAAGAGTACCCCTGCAACAAATAGGCACAAAAGCACCTGCCACAGATTAGCCTCAGGACTTCACCCAAAGCAAAGGGATGAGCCACAAGTTGAGCAGCACCATGGACAGAGCCGAGCCTGCAGACAGGACAGGGTTGATTGTGAGCAAAGCTGAGATGGGGTGGGACACGCATAAGAGACTTAGAGCTAGGGTGCAAATTTGGGAAGGCTTGTCTGACCCTGGAGAACCAGCACCAGCTCCACATGCAAGTACAAGCTCTTCACTATCTGTGAAGACACACAGCAAGCCAGGTCCCAGGAAGTCACTGATCATGGCTCAGGAAAACAAAGCAGTCTGAGAACATCGAGACACAGTGAAAAAAAGGAGAGTCCAAAGGAGGCCCACAAGGTGAAATCAGATTTCTAAACAGTCAGCACAAAGAAATGAAGGCTTCTAGTGGTGGGTCCTCCCACATGTTCACAAGGGGGATGCAGTCAGACTCAATCTTGGATATGGCAGGCTGAGATTATCCTGAAATTGGTATGACTTACCTATGCACTCCCTAACCTTCATCGCAGGGCAGGCTCAGCACTGAGACCTGTTTCTGCTTCCCAGCTGTGCACATTCACCACTGACCACTGGCCCAGGCTTTAAGAGTTCTTTAAGAGTGAGAGAAGAGAGAAGAGCACACTGGGCACCAGTGGCTTATGCCTGAAATCTTAGCTATTCAGGAGGCAGAAATCAGGAGAATTGTGGTGTGAAGCCAGCCTATGCAAACAGTTTGTGAGACCCTATCTCGAAAAAACCTGTAACAAAAAAGGGCTGGTGAAGTGGCTCAAGGTGTAGGCCCTGAGTTCAAGCCCCAGCACTGCAAAAAAAAAAAAAAAAAAAAAAAAGAGAGAGAGAAGAGTAAACAGAATAAGACACAAAAATGACAGAAGTGTGTGAGGTCAGTCCTCAGACTAAGGGTGCAGTTCTTCTGTCAACCCACCAGATGCCCTCCAGGACCACAGACAGAACAGGGTACACCACTTAGAAAGTCAAAGAAAGTGCTTAAAACATATCCCTGCCAGTGAGAAGCCTACAGGCTTATGAGGCTAATGAACTGGGCAGCTCAGACACAATGGTGCACTCCCTTCCCCAAAGCATCTCTGTACCACTTCCCTCCCTGGTTGATTGGCAGAGTGGCTCAAGTGGTAGAGTACCTGCCTAGCAAGCCTGAGGCCCAGAACCCCAGTCCTAAAAAAAACAAAAACCAAAAACCAGAGTTAGCATGGCCAAGATGGCCCCGAAAAGATATAAGGAGTCTGACATGGGCATCTTTGCTGGGGCTTCTGGCCAGAGCCTATAGGCAATGTGAAATGCAAGACACTCCACAAATAAGAAAACCTAGAAAAACAACACCTTTGGATTCAGGGACAAGTAGAAATAAGTCCATTTTGTTCCTCTTCCTAAGAAATCACAGGGAAACTGCTTAGGTTCTGAGGGAGAGAAAAAAAACACATAAAAATAAAGGACCTTCTAAGATTGGCACTGTAAGCTCTACAGCTAGGAATCACACCAAGTGCTAGGGGGAAATAAGTTGTGCCAGGCTGGTAAGACCTGCAGGCACTGAACAGACATCCATGCAAAGGGTGTAAAGAACTCCTCTATATAAAGGCTCCCCCAAATGTAGACTAGTACAACCACTCTGGAAAAAAATTTGGAGGCTACTTAAAAAGCTAGACATCGATCTACCATTTGATCCAGCAATACCACTCTTGGGGATATACCCAAAAGACTGTTACTCCAGAGGCACCTGCACATCCATGTTTATTGCGGCACTATTCACAATAGCCAAGTTATGGAAACAGCCAAGATGCCCCACCACTGACGAATGGATTAAGAAAATGTGGTATCTATACACAATGGAATTTTATGCAGCCATGAAGAAGAACGAAATGTTATCATTCGCTGGTAAATGGATGGAATTGGAGAACATCATTCTGAGTGAGGTTAGCCTGGCTCAAAAGACCAAAAATCGTATGTTCTCCCTCATATGTGGACATTAGATCAAGGGCAAACACAACAAGGGGATTGGACTATGAGCACATGATAAAAGCGAGAGCACACAAGGGAGGGGTGAGGATAGGTAAGACACCTAAAAAATTAGCTAGCATTTGTTGCCCTTAACGCAGAGAAACTAAAGCAGATACCTTAAAGCAACTGAGGCCAATAGGAAAAGGGGACCAGGAACTAGAGAAAAGGTTAGATCAAGAAGAATTAACCTAGAAGGTAACACCCACGCACAGGAAATCAATGTGAGTCAATGCCCTGTATAGCTATCCTTATCTCAACCAGCAAAAACCCTTGTTCCTTCCTATTATTGCTTATACTCTCTCTACAACAAAATTAGAAATAAGGGCAAAATAGTTTCTGCTGGGTATTGAGCAGGGGGGAGAGGGAGAGGGCGGAGTGGGTGGTAAGGGAGGGGGTGGGGGCAGGGGGGAGAAATGACCCAAGCCTTGTATGCACATATGAATAATAAAAGAAAAATGAAAAATAAATAAATAAATAAAGGCTCCCCCAGATATGGACTAATTTGCTCTGCAATACCTTCAGGCTCACAAGACTTGGTAAAACCAGAACGGAGAACTCACACAGTTTCCCCAGTAACACTGTGCAAACCACAGCCCATGGCAAAGACAAGAATCAATGCTGGTCTCAATACCAGACCTCACCAGTACTGCCAAAAACAAAGCAAACAAAAAAGACCAGCCATACTAGACTTCAGATTGCTTAAGGTCTTCTCTACAAGCAGGATATATACACATACATATTATATTTATTTTAGTTTCCCCCCCGCCCCGAGCAGGGATTGAATGTAGGTCTTGTGAATGCTAAGCACATTGTACCACTGAGCTACACTTCCAACCCCTTAGTGTTTTTATAAAAGCCATTAAGAAAATGTTCTTCAAGGACTGACAAGTTAATCCTCAGGAACAGAAGACAAAGGACAGTAGAATCTGAAGGAGGGTGACTATGGAGGATGTATTTTATATTCATGTATGAAAATAGAAGACTGAAACCTGTTGAAATTGTTCTAGGAAGGCGGGGGGTAGGGAGAATGATGAAGGGGATAAATCTAACTAACATATATTGTAAGCACATATGTAAATATCACAATGTATCCCCTATACAAATATAATATGCTAAAAAAAAAAAAAAAAAAAAAGACAGTAGAGTTGCCCTTAAATGAACTGAGGGAAATAATTGGCAACCTAGAATTCCAGGTCTAGGAAAGACAACCTCCAGAAACTAGTCACCCCCAGAGGATGGAGAGTGGCCTAGGCAAGTTGCATACAAACTGATCCAGCCCAGGTGCCACTTGGCCTGTCCCTGATGTGCCTATGTCTTGCACTATCTTCTTCTCTTAACCCTCTAGTTCTCAGAGGCTGGGGAGGGCCCTCCTGTAGACCTGATGTCCCTCGGTACCACATGTCTGCTCTCCCTGCCCAACAAGGTACCTGTTCTTCCTCATCCTCTTCCCTTTCCCACAATACCCAGCACCATGACTACTCTTTCTCCTGCACAGCACGCCACTAACCCAACACTGCCTTTGTCATCATTACGACCCCAGCCACTCCAGGGCTAGTCAGACCTTGACCCTTGCTGGATCAGCCACTCACTCAGGGTGCTTGGTGGGGCAGCATAGTAACTTCAGGTTACTGTGAAGTAATACTGTAAGATAAACAAGAAGGAGCAAGAGGACATAAAAAACGATGATAGAGAACAATAAAAGGCTCTTGGGATTTCAAACTGTGAGCACACAGATTAAAATCCCCTAGGAGCCAGAAGCTGAGCTGAAAACACACCTAGAAAGT